CTTTTGTGTTCAGTTGATTTTTTTGTAGTGACATTTCTCATGTCCGTTTGTGTGTATTTGCTAGATATTTTTGTGGCTACCATGGGGATTATATATAACATCCTAAAGGTATTACCTGTTTTAAACTGATAGCAACTTAACTTCGCCACACACAAAAACTCTGCTCCTTGGTAGTTCTGCCTCTTTTTACATTGTCAGTGTCACAGATTACATCTTTATAGATATGTATCCATTACTATAGATTTATAGTTATTTTTATGCTATTGGTTTTTTTTTTTAACCTTATGTAAGAGTAAGAAAATGTACTTATGAGGGCACCTGGGTCGTTCATTCAGTTAAGTGTCTGACTCTTGGTTTCCATTCGGGTCATAGTCTCACAGTTCATGGGACTGAGCCCCATGTTGGGCTCTGTGCTGATAGCATGGAGCCTGCTTGGGATTCTCTGTCTCTGCCTCTCCCCCTCTCATGCTCATGCTTGCTCTCTCTCTGAAAATAATAAACATTAAAAAAAATGTAATTATGAACTAAAATCATAATAATACTTGTTTGTATATTTGTCCATATGTTTAGCTTTACTGGAGAATTTTGCATCTTCATATGGCTTTGAATTTCCAAATAACATTGTTTCATTTCAACTTGAAGGACTTTCTTTAGCATTTCTTGTAGGGCAGGCCTAGTATTAATACTACCTCAATTTTTGTTTATCTGGGAAAGTCTTAATTTCTCCCCCTCATATTTTATTTATTTTTTTTTTTTTAATTTTTTTTTTCAACGTTTATTTATTTTTGGGACAGAGAGAGACAGAGCATGAACGGGGGAGGGGCAGAGAGAGAGGGAGACACAGAATCGGAAACAGGCTCCAGGCTCCGAGCCATCAGCCCAGAGCCCGACGCGGGGCTCGAACTCACGGACCGCGAGATCGTGACCTGGCTGAAGTCGGACGCTTAACCGATTGCGCCACCCAGGCGCCCCTCCCCCTCATATTTAAAAAAAAAAAAACTTTTTTTTAAATGTTTATTTATTTCTGAGAGAGACAGTGTGAGCTGGCAAAGGGCAGAGAGAGAGGGAGACACAGAACTCAAGCAGGCTCCAGGCTCTGAGCTGTCAGCATTGAGCCTGATGCAGGGCTCAAACCTGCGAACCATGCGATCATGACTCTAGCCGAAGTTGGATGCTCAACCGACTGAGCCTCCCAGGTGCCCCTCCCCTCATATTTGAAGGACTGGGTTTTTTGGTTTGTTGGTTTGTGGCCAGACATAGAATCCTTGGTTGATGGTTTTTTCCTTTTAACACTTTAAATATTTCATCCCTCTGCCTCTGGACTACAAGGTTTTGACTGAAAAGTCCACCAATAATCTTAGGAGGATTCCTTGTACTTGTTACTTGTAAGTTACTTTGTTCTTGGTACTTTCAATATCACCTCCTTGTCTTTGTCTTTCAAGAGTTTGATTACAATGTTTCTTGGTTTGGGTCTTTTTGGGCTTTTCCTTTGGGTTTTCTTTTAATTTCTTGTGTTTGTATATCTATGTCTTTCCTCAAATTTGGGGAGTTTTTGGCCATGATTTCTTCAAATAAGCTCTATGATTCTTTCTTCAATTCCTGTAATGTATATATTGTTCTACTTTATGATGTCCTTTAAATCTCTTATTCTGTGTTCATTTTTATTCATTCTTTTTCCTTTTTGTGCCTCACAGTAATTTCAAGTGCCCCATCTTCAAATTCACTGATCCTTTCTTCTGCGTGTTGGGAGTTTTCCGTTCAGCCCATCCAGTGACTTTTTCAATTCAGTCATTGGATTTTTCAGTTTTAGAGTTTCTGTGTGGTTATTTCTTATCTTTTTGTTGATAATCTCTTTTTACTTCTGTATCATTTTCCTGATTTCCTTTAACTCTTTGTATTTTTCTCTTTGTGTTTAGAATAGTTGTTGTAAGGGGTGCCTGGGTCGCTCAGTCGGTTAGGGCGTCCGACTTCGGCTCAGGTCATGATCTGACAGTTCGCGAGATCAAGCCCCATGTCGGGCTCTGTCTCTGCTGACAGCTTGGAGCCTAGAGCCTGCTTTGGATTCTGTGTCTCCCTCTCTGCTCCTCCCCCACTTGCACTCTGTCTCTGTCTCTGTCTCTGTCTCTGTTTCTCTCTCAAAAATAAATAAAACATTAAAAAAATGTTTTAAAGTCTTTGTCAAGTAAATCTGAAGGCTGTATTTGTTCAGGATGTTTTTGGAGATTTGTATTTTCCTTTGAATGGGTCGTGTTCTTTTATTTCTTTGTATGCATATGATCTTTAGTTGAAAATTCAGCATATAAAACAGCTACCTGTCATAGTCTTTGCAGACTGGCTTCATGCTGGGGGAGAACTTCACTAATCAGTGCAGCATGAAGTCTTGCCATCTTTTTAGGCCTTTTCTGGACATTTGTCTTCCCTGGTGCTGTCTGTGCTTTTCACACGTGGGCTCAATTTTCCTGTATACAAGGCTGTTTTGGTTTGGTTTTGTTAACCTTTATTTTTGAGAGAGTGAGACAGAGCATGAGCAGGGGAGGGGCAGAGAGAGAGGGAGACACAGAATCCGAAGCAGGCTCCAGGCTCCGAGCTGTCAGCGTAGAGCCTGAGGCAGGGCTCAAACTCGTGAACCGTGAGATCATGACCTGAGTCGAAGTCAGATGCTCAACTGACTGGGCCACCCAGGCACCCCTATACAGGGCTGTTTTGAAGTATGTTAGCACCTGGGTGGCCCATTCAGTTAAGCATTCAACTCTTGATTTCAGCTCAGGTCGTGAACTCACTGCGAGTTCGAGCCCCATGTCAGGCTCTGCACTGACAGCCTTTTTGGGATTCTCTCTCTCTCCCTCTCTCTCCTCCCCTTTCCTTCTTGCTTGTGCGTGGGTGCATGCTCTCTCTTTCTCCCTTTCTCTCTCTCGCTGTCTTTCAAAATACATAAATACACTTAAAAAAAAATCTTTAAGGTATGTTAAATTCCTCAAGAATCTTTCCCCTGCTTCTACTTGGGACCTTAGCTGTTATCTTGTAGTCTCCTGCCTGTAATTTCTTGCCCCCAATCGTCTGCAGATTTGTAGTCCATTTTCAGTTTTCGTGAGTGACCCCCACTGCTCCTCATGGCTTCCACTAGCCTAAGATCCCAGCCACTTTTGACCATCTGAACTCTGAGTTAGGCATCACAGAGACCGATCCCTAAGGCAGCCCTTGAGTTAGAACATGCACAGTTGGGCTGTGTGCTCTCCCCATTTTGTGGAACGGAACTGGGGCCCAGGCTGCTGCTCACCTCTTATTGTGCCTTGAAACATCAAGGAGTGGGTGACTTACACACCATTAAAAATGCCGCAGGACTTTCTGCCATTTTAAATTCAGTGTTTTCTTCATTGGGCATACACTTCATTGCTGTAGATCTTTGACCCATTTCCTATTAAGTTATCTTACTTTAAGATTGTTGAACTTCTTGGATATGTAGATTACTGTTTTTCATCAAATTGGGGACATTTTTAGACGTTTCTTCAAAAACTTCCTTCTCCTTTCTTTTTTTCTCATATTCACCCTGTGTATGCTGGTGTGCTCAGTTTCTCTGACATGTTTCTCTGACACTATCCATTTTCCCCCCCCCTTCTTTTTTCTCTGTGGTTTCAGGTTGCACAATCTCTATTGATGTATCCTCAAGTATGCTAATTATTTTCTTTTGCCAGTTTAAATCTATGTTGAGGCACTCCAGTGAACTTTTTTTTTAATGTTTATTTATTTTGAGAGAGAGAGAAAGAGTGTGAGAGAAAAAGGGCCGAGAGAGGGGAGGACAGAAGATCTGAAGCAGGCTCTATGCTGACAGTGGAGAGTCTGACATGGGGCTCGAACTCACGAACAATGAGATCATGACCTGAGCCGAAGCCTTGTCCACGCTCTTGTCCAGTGAGGTCTGGACCCCTTTGCAGGGGTAGTTTTTGAAGCCTATTTGTGACTCATTCTGACCCTAGAGGGGCTATTGGCCAAAGCTTCTTGGCTTTCTTTGGTAAACTTGCTGGCTTGCAATTGTCTGTTACTCTCAGGAAGCTACCAGCCTTCTCCTTTTTTCTTACCACCAGAATCTTCATTGTTTTCAAGAGTGCCTTTAGACTTTGACCTTCCTGCTGCCCCCCCCCCCCCCAGTCTATTTCAAATAAAGTCCTTTCTTTTGGATAGAGCTTTGGCCTCTCTGATCTTAGGTTACCTCTTCCCCTGGGCAAAATCTCTGAGACCTTGCTCCAGACCTAGGGGTGGGACAGCGACCTGATTCTCTTGGCGTGACAACCCTGCTTTATGAGCGGGGTTCTGGGTGCAGACTATAGCCTCTGGTCTTGTTGGCTTACCTCTCCCAGCCCGAAACCTTGCTGTACAGTATTTTTGGCCGGGGGTAGAGCCTTTGATCCGTGAGTGGGGGCTGGGTGAAAGAAGGGAGGAACGGAGCCCCTGTGTCGTTAGCCACACTCTCCACGAATGGTGGCTTTTGCCACTCTGAGCGGAGGTGAGACTAAGAAATGCCAGTGGCCTGCCCCTTCTGGTGCCAGGGATTTCAGGGATTAGGGAGCCTCATTTTCTTGTTCACACTTGAAATAGAGCTTCTATCTAGCTGACTTAGGGGCAGGGGCGGGAGGGTGCGCGTCATGACTCTGATCTACCAGAGTTGCTTGACTAAATGCTTCATTTGCTGTGTGCCCTTAGGACAATTCCCAGAGACTTTAAATGATTGTTTCTTTAGTAGTTTTCACCAGTTGTGGGTGTTTCACCAGGGAGCGGTTCTGCCAAGCTCCCAGTGCCTCTGTCCCGGAAGTGGAACGTCTGGGCTTTCTCTGGAGGGCTGAGGGCGTGAAGGGTGTTAAGTGATGGTGAAAAGGGGACCTTAAAATACTACTTTGACTGCGATTAGGTAACTGGACATCTACTTTGAACACCTGTATGCCATATTTTGTAGCTCTGTTGAATCTTCCTGAGTGTAAAACCCAGGTACATTTTTGTTACAGGTTAAAGAACTGTTTTCTTCTTTGGGCGTTCAGTGTAATATCTTGGAACTTGATCAAGTTGGTAAGTAGGATGGGTAGTGTATACTTTTGTTTGTAATAAACATCAACAAGACTAACTACCTGCCGTTTGCTTTGTTCAGTTCAATTTACTCTTGTCTCTTTGGGTTAGGCGAGCCGTCTTTGTCTACACTCAACCATGCAGAAAATAGAACACTATATGACAAATAATTGGGTGTAGATTTTTTTTTAATGTTTATTTATTTTTGAGAGAGAGAGAGAGAGAGACAGAGCGTGAGCAGGGGAGGGGCAGAGAGAGAGGCAGTCACAGAATCTGAAGCAGGCTCCAGGCTCTGAGCTGTCAGCACAGAGCCCGACATGGGGCTCGAACTCACGGAGTGTGAGATCATGACCTGAGCCGAAGTTGGATGCTTAAACGACTGAGCCACCCAGGCGCCCCTAGATTTTTTTATTTATATGCTTTTCATATTTGAGGGAAGGGAGCAGGAGGAAGATGTATAAACGGCTAACCTTGAAACCCTTCAAGGCGTGTCATAAGTATCTGCCAACTTTCTGGCAAAATAGATTAAGCTGTTATAAATGAAAAGAAACTACCCTTACTTCCTGATTGTATTAGCCATGCAGGGAAACACAGGAACTTTTCAGCTTTACGCTTTTGAATTCTTGTCATCTCTCATCCATCCAGCTAATATTAACTGAGCACTTTACACATGTGGTCTGCAAGGGTGGGAACCAGGGTGGTGAACTGAAAACAGTTTTGTTTCTGCCTCCACCAGACTTCACCAACTCCTCTTAGCCGTGTCTCCTTAACAAGTGAAATGTTCCTGAATCTTTGAGACTTTTCTGCGGCGTATACCAAATAGGGGAGTCAGAGGTAGTCGTGGCCTTGTTTTATTTTTCGGGGTGGAGGATACACTTGGACTATGGGTCATAAAGATTTTTCACATGTAATTATAGGCAGTATTTTCTGAGTTATTACACTTGAAGCAGATTATATCTTGATATTTGCTCTTTAAAGGAGATTCTTACCTATTTGTCTTGGCATGGCCACTGAATAATGCATCAAAATCTAATTTAGAAGGATTTGTTTTAAATGAATTTATAGATTTGCCTTTATTCTTTGTTTCCTTTGAAAATACATGGGTGTTTCCTCTTCTTGAGTCATCATTTTGTGAAGTTATGTAATATATAAATATGTAAATACTGACCTTTTATGGCTGTGTGCATGTGAGCGTTTGGTGTTGTAACACTTCTGTTCAACTCCCAAAAGTTTGGAACCCTTTCAATGTTTTTACATATTTAAGTTTTTATTCTTCAGATGATGGGGCCAATGTTCAAGAAATGCTGTCAGAAATCACTAATCAGAGAACTGTGCCCAATATTTTTGTGAATAAAGTGCATATGGGTGGATGCGATCGAACTTTCCAGGTAATAATAGTATTATATGTTTTTAATGCTGTTTCTTCAAAGTTTGTTTTCACATTTATTCAAAAGGGGTGAGAATGGCTTTTAGGAGTCTATTCATTTGTCTTTTGGAAGTTGTAAAATGGAAAAGCGTGTAAGAGAGTTATCAGATCATCTTGAAAGTAGTGATAGATGAGATTGCTGTTTCTTTTTTTCATTTTTGTTTTAATGTTTATTTTAGAGAGAGCGAGAGCGAGTGGGAGAGGGTCAAAGAGAGAGGGAGACACAGAACCAAAGCAGGCTCCAGGCTCTGAGCTGTCAGCACAGAGCCTGATGCGGGGTTAGAACCTACAAACTGTGAGATAATGACCTGAGCTGAAGTCTGGCACTTAACCGACTGAGCCACCCTGGCCCCCCAGATTGCTGTTTCTTTTTAAGTTAGATCCTTATTCTATAACTGCTTGCTTTTATTAAAATCCTGTTCCCTTATAGTTTTTATGTATGTATGTAAGTGGTAGTAGTGATTAAATACTTCTATTTCAGATTGTAACTTAAAATTACATTTTCTTGGGAAAATAGATTGTCTGCATTGTATGTTAATCTATGATCAGCATTGTTATCTATTAACAACCTGCTTCATTAGTCCCAGAAGCCATCACCCAGTTCCCATGGAGGTATGTACCTTAATCTAGAGATCCCTAAACACCTACGGGAGTGCTGGTCTTGCCACTCGTAACCTGGAGAAGATGTCAGAACGTAGAGTTCTGAATTCCACTTAAAAAAAACTTTTTTTTTAATGTTTATTTTTGAGAGAGAGAGAGAGAGAGCAACAGAGCATGAACAGGGAAGGGACAGAGAGGGAGACACAGAAGCTGAAGCAGGATCCAGGCTCTGAGCTGTCAGCACAGAGCCTGACGCAGGGCTCGAACTCACAAACTGTGAGATCATGACCTGAGCCAAAGTCAGAGGCTTAACCGACTGAGCCACCCAGGCGCCCCATCAATTCCATTTCTTATGAAAGGAGCTGCCATGCATGGCTGATGCTTAGGATTCACAGTTTCCTAAGGGCAGCTTGAAGTCAGGAGGCCAGAGGAGTCCTTCTTAGAATGTGCCAAAAGCCTCCAGGGACACCCATCCTTTGGGGGCCGTGTGGCCTGCGCTGAGTCCCATAGTTAAGTAGCTTTTCCACTGTGCTTCCCAGGATGAGCTGGTGCCACCTGGTGTCCCTAAAGCCAGCGTTGTGGATGGAGCTCCCATCTTCACATAAAGAAAACTGTTGTTACCTCACACATTGAACGTCTAACCTCACCCAAGCTACAATTTTTTTTTTTTAATGTGTACTTATTTTGAGAGGGAGGGAGAGAAAGAGTGCAAGCAGGGGAGGGGCAGACGGGGAGGGAGACACAGAATCGGAAGCAGGTTCCAGGCTCCGAGCTGTCAGACAGAGTCCGATGCGGGGCTTGAACCCACGAACTGGGAGGTCATGACCTGAGCCGAAGTCAGTCGCTCAACTGGCTGAGTCACCCAGGCGCCCCTCGCCCAAGCTACTTTGCTCAAAAGGCAGGCCAAGCAAGCAAGAGACATTGTGCGAGAGCCAGCCTTTGTGACCACTGTTGAAAGAAAAAGCAAAGTTTTGTGTTGTATAGGAAGGTTACTAAGAAGCTGCAAAATTTAGGTCAAATCATGAGAAACCAGGTAAAAATGTAAAGTGTATATCCTGCTGATGATGCAGAAGAGTTTCAAAATAAAGCCTACCACAGGTGAACAGAAGATAGAGGATTTTGAGAAATGATGCCTGGCTATTTTATATTTTACTGTACTGGGTTATGATATTTTGATGGTTAGACCAAGGCACATGACCTCATCTGACAAAAAGCCATGACCTGTGGGTTATTTGACACATGTCTAGATGTCAGGTGATAATGAACAAAAAATGTATGTACTTGGCATACATTCTATCTAGTTGGACCCCATTTGAATACCATCTAGATAAATTTATAATTCGAAGTTAGATAAATTAGAGACTGTTTCTTGTGCTTTTTAAAAATTTATTATGTCATTTACATCCCAATTAGCATATAGTGCACCAATGATTTCAGGAGTAGATTCCCTAAGCCCCTTACCCATTTAGCCCCTCCCCCCTCCCACAACCCCTCCAGCAACCCTCTGTTTGTTCTCCATATTTAAGAGTCTCTTATGTTTTGTCCCCCTCCCTGTTTTTATATTATTTTTGCTCCCCTTCCCTTATGTTCATCTGTTTTGTATCTTAAAGTCCACTTAGAGACTGTTTCTAAGAGTTTTAGAAAAGCAATCCATGCTGATTAAACATAGGGTACAAAGAAACAGATTTTTAAAAGGTCATGCCATACTCTCTCCTTTGATTACACCGTAGGCACATCAGAGTGGTTTGTTACAGAAGCTCCTTCAGGAAGACTCAACATACGATTATGACCTCATTGTCATTGGGGGCGGTTCTGGTGGCCTTGCGTGTGCTCAGGTATGAAAATAATGAAACTCAGAGATAATTTTCCTGGCGATTGCCATAAGCACTTCTTCCCCTACTTTATTTATTTATTTTTTTTAACATTTATTTATTTTTGAGGCAGAGAGAGACAGAGCATGAACGGGGGAGGGTCAGAGAGAGAGGGAGACACAGAATCTGAAACAGGCTCCAGGCTCTGAGCAGTCAGCACAGAGCCCGACGCGGGGCTCGAACCCACGGACCGCGAGATCGTGACCTGAGCCAAAGTCAGCCGCTTAACCAACTGAGCCACCCAGGCGCCCCCTTCCCCTACTTTAGAAAAGCCAATTTTGACGTTACAGTCCAAGCTTTTACTGTGATAATAAAAAGTAAAGGCTGTGTTCTTACATAGTCTTTTTCCTTTCGGGGAGAGAAAAACTGGGGGATTGTCAGGAAAATGACGAGAACTTTATTTATCTGTACCTTTTTTTTGTAGGAAGCTGCCATCTTGGGAAAGAAAGTTATGGTGCTAGACTTTGTGGTCCCATCACCTCAGGGCACGTCCTGGGGTAAGCGCTTTTGCCTTGTTGTTGTGACTTGTTTTCTGCTGTTTCCATACATCTTTGGCTTTCTTCAATCTAGTTAATCCTCATAACAGTCTCCAGAGGTACAACCGGCCTGTTTCATAGGTGAGGCAGGTTGAATAACTCATCTAAGATCTCATAGTTAACATGTGGTGATTGGGAAAGGGAACACAAAAATCACTAAGGAACATTTTGCAAAAAGAAAGAATTCCATGGTTCCAATATTCCAACACTCGTGCTGTAATAATTCTTGCACACCTGTGCTAACGTTTTCACTTAGTTGCAGTCACCGTGTATTTATACCATGTGGTGCTGACCTAAGCTTGCCTTAACACTGGTCTGTGTTTCTGTGTCAATTTCATAGCTGCTCTCCTAGCGGCAGGACGGTCAGTCCGGTTAGTGTGTGTGTGTGTGTGTGTGTGTGTGTGTGATTGTCCAGGTCACTTAGTAAAGTGCACGTTGGGCTTCCAGCTAAAGATGAGAACGTTCATCTTCATAGAACACACAGATTCTGTGTTGGATATTTTCCATTCGTGTGTCAGATCCATTCTCCGTGTCTCTACCCTGCTCTGTGCCCCAGAAGGCTGGCGAATTGGCAGCCTTGTCCCCTTGCTCAGCCAGTTAGTGGTCATGGGAGGAGAACAGAAGGAGGATGTTGAAGGTCTTCATTCCCTGACTCCGTCCCTGCTGGTCCCTCCCTGGTGGTCACTGCAGGTGTATGGAAGGCCACCTCCCCTTTCACGGCCGCCCCTCTGTGGGCTGTGCCACATGCTCAGTGTGCTTGCCCCTTCATGTGGGGTTGGCGCTGCTCCGCTGTTCTGTCCCTCTTCACTCTTCGTGCCCACACCCCTGTAATCATTTCTCTATAAACTCTCCTCTGTTTCCCAGCTTGAGGGTGTCATCCGTTTCCTGCCAGAACTCTGACAAAATGTGAATGGGGCGCCTGGGTGGCTCAGTCGGTTAAGCATCCGACTTCGGCTCAGGTCACTATCTCACGGTTCATGGGTTCGAGCCCCGTGTCGGGCTCTGTGCTGACCCCTCAGAGCCTTGAGCCTGCTTCGGATTCTGTGTCTCCCTCTCTCTCTGCCCCTACCCCGCTTGCACACACTCTCTCTTTCTCTCTCTCTCAAAAATAAACATTAAAAAAAATATTTTTTAAATGTGAAAATCGTGTTTAAAATTCAAATGTACTCAAAAATTTTAGCCTAGAATTTCATACAGTAAAGCTAATCTGTCTTGATTTTCCTTGTAACATGTGGATGTTAAAAAATGTGTGTGTATACCTGGCTTTTTTTTTCTCCCTGTCTCCTCCTGCCCTCTTCCCTCTTTCTCTCCTGTCCAGAAATGTCCTACTTCTCTGGATGACCAGAAGAGAGACTGTGATCAAAGACAGAATTTTCTGATTCGTGCCCTGCACTGGAGCACTCCCGCATGGCCTGTTTTGTTCCGTTCAAGATTCAGAGTAGTGTCACCAGGGAGCTTGCAGTGGACCTAATGTTAGCTCAGAGAAGGAGTCAGACTTCCAGAGAATAAGGGCTGGAAGCTGGGGTTCCAACCCTCGGTCTGGTACCCATCTAATTAATCTAATACAGCTCTGATCCATTTAGGGGTCAGATTCAAAGGAAAGTTTTAGATTCTCTCCCCAGAAGACTATTCATATGTATATTTGTATTTTTAAAAATTTTTTTGATGTTTATTTTTTGAGAGAGAAAGAGAAACAGGGTACGAGCAGGGTGGGGGACAGAGAGAGAGGGAGACACAGAATCTGAAGCAGGATCTAGGCTCTGTGCTGTCAGCACAGAGCCCAATGCGGGGTTCGAACTCATGGACCATGAGATCATGACCCGAGCCGATGTCAGATGCTTAACCAACTAAGCCACCCAGGCGCCCCTGTACATTTGTATTTTTGCTCATCCCTGGTCTCCTTCATGGACTCAGTTAAAAAGTTTGAGTTAATCATGTGCATGTTTTTTTTTTTTTTTAATATTTATTTTTGAAGGAGAGACAGAGACAGAGACAGAGACAGAGAGTGAGCTGGGAAGGGGTAGAGAGACAGGGAGACACAGAATCCAAAGCGGGCTTCAGGCTCTGAGCTGTCAGCACAGAGCCTGATGCAGGGCTCGAACTCATGAGTCGTGAGATCATGACCTGAGCCTAAGTCGGACACTTAACCAACTGAGCCACACAGGTGCCCCAATCATGTGTATGTTTTTGTGGAGTGTGAGGTTGGCCCTATAACCATCTGAGTGTGTCATTTCCATGTTTCAACAACACCTGCTCCGTACATATGTAAAACCACACACATGCCGACACAGACACAGAGGAAACATTAAAACTGTTCTTTTCTTTCTTAGGTCTTGGCGGCACTTGTGTGAATGTGGGCTGTGTTCCTAAGAAATTGATGCATCAAGCTGCCCTTTTGGGGCAGGCATTAAATGACTCCAGGAAATTTGGCTGGGAGTATGGTCAACAAGGTGGGTAATAGTATATAAAAATTTGGATTGGGAGAAAAGAAGACAGAATGCGTTTTTTTCTTTTTTTAATGTTTATTTTTGAGAGCGAGAATAAGCAGGGGAGGGGCAGAGAGAGCGAGACACAGAATCCGAAGCAGGCTCTGAGCTGTCAGGACAGAGTCCAATGCGGGGCTCAAACCCATGAACCATGAGATCATGACCCGAGCTGAAGTCGGATGCCTAACTGATGAGCCATCCAGGTCCCCTGATAGAATGAGTTTCTTAGAGAAAGGCTTGTGATTTATGTTACTGTAGTTGAGTCTGAAATTCATTTAATGAACACTTGTTAGGACCCCACTTTGGCACAGGGGCGTCAGGGGTGGTTGCTTTAAGCCTGGCCCTGCTGTCAGGGGCCTTGGTGCGTAGGGAGGGATTGTGACAGGTACAGCCATCTCAGACCCTTTGCAGAACATGAGAGAGAATAATTGCTATTTTCAGATTTCCTTTAGGTATAAAGAGAATAGAACAGCCAGGGTCATTGTTTGAATTTTATCCATTATTGTGATAACATTTTCTACTTCACCAGTGGTTATATATGTCTTTGGTTAATGAAAGATGGAAACCAAATTCGTGCGATAAATACTTACAGGGTAGGCTCTGAGGATACAGATATGAGAAAATACGGCTCCTTGCCCTTAAGCAGACCACAGTCTGTTGGAAGAGAAGAGAAGAGAAGCGATTCCATGCACTGTAATTCATGGTGAGGTTTTGAGGATTACCTTCAGGGGGCACTTAAGGTGGCCTTGAGAGTCCGAGGTGGAGGAGGTGACCCTTGAGCTGCATCTTGAGGGCCACAGAGAAGCGGGTTGTTGAAGGTAGGGAGCAGCTTGCTCTGAACTGCCGAGCTGTGAGAAAACACGGAGTACTTGGCGGATAAGTGAATGGCTGGCATGGAGAATGGGGGAGGGATGCTGGCAGAAATGAGGTTACAGAGAAGCAGTTGTGAAGGCTCTTCAGTGCCATCTGAAGGAGTGAGGATTGACTCCAAAGGTAGTAAGAGAGCCATCGAGTGTCTGTAGGAGAGGAACCTGAACCACAGTTTGGATTCTGGATCCCTCTGGTGGCACCAGGGAATTTAGCAGGCTGGAGGTGGGGAGGGGGGGCAGGTCCAAAGACATGGAGGTGAGGTGGAGTGCTGTTGCCTAACCCAGAGGAGAAAAGGACCAGGCCTGGGCAAAGGCTGGATTTAGACTGGAGAGTATGAGGTGGATCTCAAGGATTTAAGGCCTGGAATTGACAGGCTAGGAGTGGATCGGTGATTTTGTCGCTTTAGAATAACAAATACGGAATTAAAAAAAATTTCAAGGATTTGTCTGTCTCTCCAGAGATTTTGACTGAAGAAATGTGTGCATGAGCGTGTCCTTGCAGGTGATTCTGCCAGGCCCCCCAGGTCACAGGTGGGGTAGAGGGTGAAGGAGAGGAAGGAATCCAGGAAGAGGGACTGGGCGAGAATGTAGTGTATTGGCCGAGCTGGAAAACACGGGCAAGTGTGAGTTAGTGGCCAGGTGTGGTTGGAGTTCAGCACAGTGAGTTGTGGCTGGACAGACTCTTCACGGACAGATTTCCCCAGATGCTCAGCTCCATGGAGAGCTTTCGGTCCAGTTCCAGGGCCAACTGGTTGTAGATAAAATGAGGTGTCTGCATTTGATAGTTTAGCCACGGGGTCGTCTTCACCTTCAAGTTTCCTGCTCCCTGAATTCTGCATCTTGCGTGGATTGTCCACCTTGGGCCGCTGCGGAACATCCTGGTGGAGTTCGCTATCTGGGGACAGTTTGTGCTTGAGCGAGGTCTGGGCAGGGCCTGGGTTTGCCACCCACACTGTAGGTGGCGGTTCAAGTCTTAGGAATTGCTGAGAGGGGCCAGGGAAACCCTCTGGGTAGAAAAGAACAGAAGACAGAGACAGGATCCTGATAAGGAGTGGGCGAGGAAGACAAGGAAAACTAGGAGAGGTGTGTCATCGGAAGCCAGAAGACCCTAGATTTTTAAGGGCAAGATTCCAGGCATGGGGAGTCTCAGCCAAGAACGAAGTGGAGGGAAGTGCTGCAGAAAAGGCCAAATGAGTTGGAATAGGGTTTGAATTAGGTACATTTTAGATTTGCAGTTAGGTAGTTACTTGGGTAATCATGGCCAAGTGGGGAGAAAACACCAAACACCCTGAGATGGAGAAAGGCCATGAAGGATGGAACTGTGCAGGTGGCCTGTGATGGGGACAGCCAGGCAGGGCTGTGTGCAGGCGACACGCCAAGGCAGGGTTCCCCACGAGCTGAGAACTTGGTGTGTCAGCCCTGTCCGTGCACACTGCCCTGCATTGCTGGGACTCTGCACTTTCAGGAAGGGACAGTGGGGCAGATGTTTATGCCACTTTACCCCCCTGAAGGGCCAGATTATGTCCCTAAACTCATCTAAAGGCTTAATATTCCTAGTTTCCTGGAGTGAGTAAAATCTTGTATTAGATTCCTCAAAGTTCCACATACAGGATGTTTCTAAGTTAATTTCAAGGTGCTACACTAAGAAATACCTAACCAGCCATCACATGGAATTTAGAGCTTAGTTTTTAGGCATAGGCTCCATGGAATGGCCAAGACAAGTCATAGATTAAGGGGTAAGAGAAAGGAAATGAAAACATGCTGAAATCTTGGTCTGGGAGAATGTTCTAGATGCTTTCATTCTTGATGTTGGCAGAGAAATATGGATTAAACTAAATTTAAAATGTATACATAATTTCCAGATCAGAAATTGAATATAGAACTTCCAAGAAAAAGGGAACAGGAAAATGTACAAAGAAACAGCATGAAACTCATTTAAAACAAACAAAAAACAACCCAGAAAGCAAGATGGCAGACGCAAGGGCAGTCTTCTACATATTCGAATAAAGCTAAATGAGTCAGCGTCTCAAGTTGCATAGACAGAACTCATCCATGTGCTTTTGCAGGACACACAGCTAAAACAAAAAGAGATAATTGTTGAGAATATAGTAATTTAAAATTTTTAAATGGCAAATTTAAATTTTCCAATTTAAAATTGATGGGAAATTTGTAAATAGGTGGGAAAAGATATATCAGGGAAGTGAAAACCAAAGCAATACCAGATAGGGAGACTGTACAAGGCAACACACACACACACACACACACACACACACACACACACACACACAAACTGAGGAGTTAATGAGTTAACACCCTCCCCAAAATAGAATCAATGAAAAACACCAAGAATATATTTGAAAATGCAAATGAGTAGGTAGACCTTTGGCAAATCCAATCAGGGGAATAGGAGAGAGAATTCATACAACTATGTAACATTAGGTGTGAGAAAAGAAATACAACTACAGGAAGAGAAGAGAGAAAACAAATTCAATATACAAATTAGTGTTAAGCATATTAAATATCTCGATGAAAGGGAGTATATTCTAAGAAAATATAGATGACCAGAATTGACTTGAATTATCAGAGAAAACATTGCCTGAGGACAATTCATTCTCCAAGAGACCACAGATTCACATGTAAATTTCCTCAACTCTTCAAGGAACATTTTTTCTGTATTTAAACTATTCTTGAGCTTAGGAAAAAATAGAAGGGTTCACTTTTTTTTTTTTTGAAACTGACATAACAGTGATACAAAAAGATCGTGTAAAAATAGAAAGCTATAGGCCACAGAGGTACCAAATTTCTAGAAAAAACATTAGCAAATCCTCTCCAGCAGTGACTAAAGGGATACACTGTGACTTCTGAGGGTTCGTTCTGGAGACACAAGAGTGAGTCATTAGGAAACCATAGTAGGGATGCTAAAACCCACATGATGACCTGGATTCCAGCTCTGTTATGGCCTTAAATAAATAAATAAATAAATAAATAAATAAATGCCTGTCATTAAACTGAGCAAAGAAATGGACACTTCCTTTACATTATGAAGAAAAGTCAGATGTAAATATTTGATGGAGGGGCACCTGGGTGGCTAAGTTGGTTAAGCATCTGACTCTTGATTTTGGCTCAGGTCATGATCTCAAAGTTCATGGGATCGAGCCTCACTTCAGTCTCTGCACTGACAGTGCAGCACGGAGCCTGCTTGGGTTTCTCTCTCTCTGTCTCAAAATAAATAAATTAAAAAATGAAAATAAATATTTGGTGGAGAAGAGCTTGAGGCATTTACATTAAAGTCAATAATTAGGGCAGCCCACTTCCACTACTAATATCTGCATTGTTCTGGGGCTTCTGGCCAGTGCACAAAAAGGAAGAACAGGAAAGAAAAAGTACATACTTGAGAAAGAGGAAGAAAAAGAGAGTGTAAACCTGTCATGTATGTATATCCGCAGTTATATACACGATCGTATACGAGATACCTAGAATATGTGAGAGATCGAACTAAAAAATGTTAGAACTAATAAGAGTTGTATGGAACTGTTGAATCACTAAATTGTACACATGAAACTAATATTACACTGTAGGTTAACTAACTAGAATTTAAATTAAACTTAAAAAAAACGGAATACCATATCAGAATTTCTCAGACTTGAAACATGGGACTGGTAGGAGCTACAAGTGTAATCTTAGAGGACTTTGAGTTCATAATATTTTGTAATCGTATTTCCTTTTAAACAAAAATCTACCACATGTGAAAAAAAAAAGTTCACTCAGTGGCTTATAAGGTATATGTGCAAAAATCAGTAGATTCATCACATCAACAATAAGAAATTAAATATTTAATGAAAATTGCAACAAAATGATAGAATAAGTTGGGATAAATTTACTAGGAATGGACAAAATAGATAAGGAAAGTATAAAAGCATAACAAAAAATATACTGAGAATTTTAGATGGGATGTCTCAATATTATAAAGCCGTTATCTCAAAATTATAAATGTCTCAACAAATTTTTTTTTTTTTTTGGAACTTGACAGATTATTCTAAAGTTTGTATTGAAAGTGAATGTGTGAGGATAGCTGCGCAGCCTTTGAAAAGTGTGGAGAGTAATTTTTCCCATCAATAGTTAAAATGGTGATACTATTACAAAGCTAAACAGGTGGATAAAACAGTAGAGCGGGTGGTTCCAAAGTGCCAGTCCCTGGATTTGCCACATTAGAATCTCCTGGGGGATCTTGTCTTGGCTCCATAGGTTTGTGGCAGGTCCAAGAATTTTTATGTTTCAGCCTGATTTCCCAGGGGATCCTGGACTGAGAAGGTCCTTGGGATAAGGGGTTCTTGAAGGGTTACAAGCATAACTTTTCCAGCTTAGAGGGGAGGAGGGATCTTAGGATATGAGGACATGTGCCGCTGTGGAGAGGCTCATCACTGCTGGGTCATTACCTTCTGGGCTCAGGGTGTGGGGGTCGGGTAACTTAGCGACCACAGTGACCCTCTGGATTGCAAGATCTTAGGAGACTTTGCTGCATATTGACATCCTAGAGGGAAAGATATGATATCCAGGCCATGAACTCGCTGGGTACATTCCTGATGAGTACTGAGGCCTTTCTTGAGAGTGTTGGCTAGGGTGAGTCACCAGACGGGACCTGAGGATGAACCCAGCGGACTGGGTTTGCCTTTGGGAATCTCTTCCAGTTTGATGGGAGCCCCGGGCTGGCCTCTGTGTATTATAAGCATGGTGCTGCACAGAGACTGGTTTCCCCTTTGGGAACTAGCATCAGCAGACGAGGTGGATGAACACCAGGAAATAAATCCCGTCTAGAAGATCCAGGATGACGAGAAATTCTGATTCCAACAGCTCCTGCTCCACGTCCAATAGGAAATGAGCAAATGTTGTGATACACATGGTGGGCAGCGGTGAGCACCAACCACACCAATTATAAAGCAGCGTAGGGTCTTGGCTCTCATAAAACCACCTCCAGGTGAACTGAAAGGGAGGGGCCCAGGCTGGGCTGGTCAGGAGGATGTGTGGTGCTCGCTGACCTGAGACCCGCTTCTCTTCACATCCGGGGTGCCGTGTGCACCAGGCCTCCTGGAGTGCAAGAGTGGCCGTGGGGTGCTCCTGAATGATAATCTTCCTGCCTTGTGATGTTTTGGACTGGTTTCCCCATTCTCCTCTCCATGGATGTTTTTCTTCTTTTCAGACGTTTTGCTTATGTTTTGTAATATTAAAGAGAAAGAAGTATAAACTGTGGCCTGAAAAAGATTGAAGTCTTATGTTCCCTTCTTTTCTTTTTTTTATAATTTTTTTTAATGTTTATTTATTATTGAGAGACAGACAGAGAGAGTGTGAGCAGGGGAGGGGGCAGAGAGAGGGGGAGACACAGAATTCGAAACAGGCTCCAGGCTCTGAGCTGTCAGCACAGAGCCCGATGCGGGGCTCGAACTCACGAACCGCGAGATCATGCCCTGAGCCGAAGTCGGACACTTAACCAACTGAGCCACCTAGGCATCCCTTGCGTTTACTTCTTGATTGTTTTTTTTTAAATAATTTATTTAGTTTTTAATTTACATCCAAGTTAGCATCTAGTGCAACAATGATTTCAGGAGTAGATTCCTTAATGCCCCGGACCCATTTAGCCCATCCCCCCTCCAGTAACCCTGTTTGTTCTCCATATTTAAGAGTCTCTTATGTTTTGTCCCCCTCCCTGTTTTTATATTATTTTTGCTTCCCTCCCTTATGTTCATCTGTTTTGTATATATATACACCACGTCTTCTTTATCCATTCATCCGTTGATGGACACTTGGGCTCTTTCCATGCTCTGGCCATTGTTGATAGTGCTTCTATAAACACTGGGCTGCATGTGTCCCTTCAAAAGAGCACACCTGTATCCCGTGGATAAATACCTAGTAGTGCAATTGCTGGGTTGTAGGGTAGTTCTATTTTTCGTTTTTTGAGGAACCTCCATACTGTTTTCCAGAGTGACC